TCTACCGCAGGCGTCCCTGATTCAGCGGCTGCTGAAAATGACCACCAGCGGCTGAATCAGGGACGCCTGGAGCAGAGCCGGACTATCAGAAGGGGGGGCTATGAGGGGTCTGGGATCAGACCCCTCATAGCCCCCACTTCTGATAGTCCAGCATATCTGATAATCCGGCACCCGCTGGGTCCTAAAGGTGCTGGATTATCAGAAGTTTACTGTACTCAGCATCTGTTTGTTTCCAGACAAACTCAAAAATATTCTTTTAAGATAAATTCTTTAAATTTATTGGATTACTACATTCAAAATAAAGCATAAGAGTTATCAATGGCTCACAGCACACCAGTCATGATTTATACTGAACAGTGTAAAGTTTTGTAGCTCAGTTGTGAACGTTCGTTTTCTGAACTCTCACACATCCCTGCCCTCAAAACAGTTACAGGGAAATACATTAGATGGTTCATAAGATACAAGTTGCAATCACTATAAAGGGGAAAGATTTTGTAGAGTTCACCTAGAGTGGGCAAGCAGCTCCTTGATGACTTAACTCAATGTCAGTTCTCAGCATGTCACACAATCCTTATGCTTCTCCTCCATCAAGCTAAGTACAATGGTCAAATTCAACAGACTTACTTGAGGATTACAGGGACACCACCGCAGAATCGAGCTGCACTGCTTCTGCAATAACCTGAAAGCTGCACGCTAATTTACATTCAGAGATTTGGGGTCAGAATCGTCCCAGCAATGGAGTAGCTGGAGAGGTCTTAAAGCTAAGAAGATAAAAGACAGCTGACTAACAGTATCAAGACAGGCTGAACCTCCCAAAACTGGGAATCTCAGGTTCCGCAACATCCATGGTCTGGCAGGGGACCAAAGAGCCCCGGAGGCGAGAGTGGGACCCAACTGGAGAACACAGGGCTGGGGAGCCCTGGCTGGGCCAGGTGGTGGCTGGGGAGCCCTGGTATTAGCGGAACCAGGTGGTAAACAGGGAGCCCTAACCCAGCCAGGGAACCCCTGGTGTCAGCTGGGCCAGGCGGTGAATGAGGAGCCCCTGCCCTGGCTGGGGAACGCAATGCAGCAGTGGTGTCAGGCAGCTCTGGGCTGGAGAACCCCAGGGAAACCTCAGTGGGAGCAGGATTAGTCCCAGCAGTGGGGCCAGTGGCAGCTGGGCAGCCCCAGCCAGGGAGCTCCCTAGCATTATCTGGCCAGGGTACCCAGGGAATCCAAGGTGGCAGTGGTGCTGGGGCAGCCAGGTGGCCAGAGAACCCCCACTGGCAGTGGGCCAAGCGGCCCCAGCCAGGGAACTTCTCAGCTTCACTGGCTGGAGAACCCAATCCCTGGTGGCAGCGCGACTGTGTTGGCTGGGCGGCCCTGGCCAGAGAACCTTCGGTGACAGTGGGGCCAGGTGGCAACAGGGAACTCTTGGCCATGGAACCCTTGGGAATCCCCAGTGGCAGTGGGGCGGACGGCTTCTGAGCAGGGCTGGTGGTGGTTAGGTGGCCCCAGGAACTCCAGGGAGCCCTGGCGGCAGTGAGTCCGGCAGCAGGGTGGGAGCCCCAGCCTTGGGAGCCCGGAAGTGGGGCAGCCAGTAGGGGAGCACTAACCTCCCCGGTCCGGGACCATTCAGGTCCCAAGGGTGCCGGTCCAGGGAGATCCAACCTTTACTACAAAATCCTAAGAGCTATGCTGTGAACCTCAGACACAATAGCCATTAAACGGAGACACTTTGCATACATGAAACCAGTCACTAGTGAACATCTTCTCAGCTGTGCAGGGAGAACTCTGCAGCTGTTTTCCTTACGGTGGCTGCAAGCCACATCATAATGCCATTTATGAACTGCTGCAGTGAGAGACCATGGCACAGGGTCAGAGTCACATTGACAGATCTAACTCTCAGACAACTACAACAAGCCACACACAGAAATCTCATAGTCCCTAAGGGAACATCTGTTAAAGTAGAAACCTGGGGGTAGGCAATAACTTTTGCAGGGGGGCCACTTCCCACATTTTGGTACATCAACATGGGCTGGCTTTGGGCCCCCTGGAAGGGGCGACCTCAGGCAGAAGGGGCAGAGCTGGGGGTAAAAGCATGGGTGTGTGAAAGACACAGACTGAGTGTGTAGGGCACAGAGACTGGGAGAGAGTGTGTGTGGGCTGGCTGCTGCACAATAAGCTTCTGAAAGAAGCCAGGCTGTCTCTTTAAAACAGGGAAAGCTGTCCTGCTCTGGTGTCTCCCCCCAGCCCCACTCTGCAGAAATGGGGTACAGGATCAGTGGGACACCCTGACTTCAGCCCTCCCTTCTCCCCTCAACCCTATCCCTCCTTGCTCCCTCCTCCCACTCTGCACAACTAACAGGAGAACCTTGGCTGCAGGACAGAGCAAGGTGGGGGAGCCGGGGGCAGCTGAGCACAGGCTGTGGGTTGTAAGTCTGCACCTCTGCTAATCAGCTGGGCCAGCCAGAGAGATTCTTGGCGAGTCAGTTTCAGCCCCCAGGTCCGATTTTTCCCACCCCGAGTAACCTGATAAAAAGAGTATTTTGTGATCTGTATTACAGTAGCATCTAGAGATCCCACCAAGAGTGGACCACTCCTGTGCTGGGCATTGTGCAGTGTCAAACAATCTCTATCCTGAAGAGCTGAGAGTCCTAAGTACACATCACAAAAAAAGTGGGAGGTGAAACAGAGGTACAGAATAGGCAATGATCTGCAAAGGGGGAGCTGGGGCAGAACCCAAATCTCCCGACTTCCATTCCAGTGCTCTCCAGCAAGGATCAGCAACCTGTCAGAAGTGGTGCGCTGAGATTTAACTTACTCACCGGTATATACAGGTCCGAGTGCTGGTGACACTTTTTAAAGCCCATAATAATCCTACCTACAGCAGCTTCATTAACAAATCTGTGAAGATGCAGATCGTACTGTTTAGCATGGCCCTTGGCCTGGCTTTGCCTTGCTGAGGTCTCCGCTCACGAGCCGCTGGGTGTTCAGTCAGACACCCCAAATAAACTGTCCCCTGCTTCCAGCTCACCACACGGAGGCCAGCACCCAGGCACCCCCTTTACCTCCCCTGTGGAATCTGCTCCCCCCAGCCCAAATGGGGGCTGGGATAAATCCTGCTTCTCCAAGTAGCAGGCACCAGCCATCTGTCCGGTCCTAACTCCCAGCTAAAGCACAAATTATCCACCCCTCCCCCACCTCTCAGCACAGACAAACTACCTCCCTGCCTCCGCCTCAGCCCAGTGCCAGCACCCCCTCTTTCGCCATTCAGCCCAGGCAGCCACACACATGCTGCCCCGGGCCTCCGCCCCACTGCCACCGCTCC